TGCTATTCAAATTTTATATTTCCTCCAGAGTTAGTTTCATTAATTTGTCTTCCAAGGTACTTCTTAGAAGTTGTCAAATTTATTTCAAAACTGATGTTTGTAATATGCTTTCTACATCCTTTTAAATTCTGTAAAATCTGTGGTAATGTCTCCTAGATCTTGATATTGTAATTTGAAAAATATATAACTGATATTGTGTAATAGGAAGAAAAGGTCTAAAGGAGCAGGGGAATTGGGAGGGGTAGGGGAAAGGAAAGAAGGAAAAAGAAAAAATATAAGAAAAGGGGAAAAATGGAAACAAATTCTTTGCAAATAGGGAAGGGTGGGCAGGGGAAGGGGAAAAAAATAAGAACCAAGATACTCATGTAAAGATACAAGATCCCAATGATGTATGTAACTGTATTTTATACCTAAAATGTACCAATAAACTTAATGGGGAAAAAACAAAAATAAAACTAATAAATTTAATACACTATATTAACACAGAAAAGGACAAACACCATATGATCATCTCAATAGAAGCAGAAAAAAATCATTCAACAAAATTCAACACCCATTCATGTTAAAAATAAAAACTCTACAGAAAATTGGAATAGATGGTCTTTATCTCAACTTGATCAAGGCTATCTATGAAAAACCAACAGCCAACATCATACTATGGTCAAAAAGTGAAAACCTTCATGCTAAAATCAGGAACAAGACAAGGATGTCCACTATCACCATTCCTGTTCAATATAGTTTGAGAAACATTAGCCACAGTGATTAGATAAGAGAAAGAAATAAAAGGAATAAAGATAGGAAAGGAAGAATTTAAACCGTCATTATTTGCTGACAACATGATACTCTACATAGAAGACCCAAAAAACTCTGCAAAAACTCTTCTAGACTTAATTGCAAGACTCAGTAGAGTAGCTGGATATAAGGTCAACACTCAAAAATCAATAGCCTTCTTATACACAAATAGCAGACTCACTGAGAGAAAAATTAGGGAAACAATTCCTTTTATAATAGCATCCCAAAAAATGAAACATCTAGGAATCAATCTAATGAAGGATGGAAAAGCCCTCTACATTGAGAACTACAGCACTCTGAAAAAGGAGATGGAAGAGATATAAGAAAATGGAAAGACATCCCTTGCTCCTGGGTAGGAAGAACCAATATAGTGAAAATGTCCATATTTCCAAACCTGCTATACAGATTCAATGCAATCCCGATGGAAATCCCAACAGTATATTTCACAGAACTACAAAAAAATGATCCAAAAATTCATTTAGAACCAGAAGAAACCTAGAACAGCAAAAGCAATACTAGGCAACAGAGGCATGACAGGGGGTATCACAAGCCCCAACTTTAAACTATGCTACAAAGTTACTATGATAAAAACAGCATGGTACTGGCAAAAGAACAGACATGAGGATTAGTGGAATAGAAGATGCAGAAACAACTCCAGACACACTCAGCCATCTCATCTTTGACAAAGAAGCCAACTATCCTCACTTGAGTAAAGATAGCCTCTTTAATAAATGGTGTTGGAAAAACTGGATTTCAAC